TAATTAGGAAGCATCTGTGGCTGGATTTGAACTCAGGCCTTCTTTCCTGATTCCATGCCCAGCGATTAGGGAGAGATTCTGCTTCATTCATTTTTTCTGGTTAACTCAAGATGGAATAACACCAAGTTTCAGTTTCAAGTCCTGTTGAAGATGTCTTTAAATTCTATCAGTCTGTTAGTGTGATGTAGGAAACAGAATTCTGGGTCTGGATGAGAGGATATGGGTTGAATTCCAACTATATTTCTTACTCACTGTGTGACCTTTGGTAAGTCCTTTCCCCTTCCTGGGCCTCAGTCTCCTCTTTAGTAAGAGAAAGGCATGCTAGATCATATCAAAGAGAGGTCCTCATCTCTCTCCATCTCAGTCTTTCCTGACCTAATATGGTCTAGACAGTGAACATTAATGCATTTTTCTTTGATGCATTAGAAGGATTTCAAAGTCATCATTGTCAAAGGCATGGCATATTGGATTTTAGATCAGAGAGACTTGTGTTCAAGCACTATTTCTGCTACTTATTGTGGGCCCTTAGATTGGTAAATTACGACTTCTGTCTGCCTCAGTTTCCTCCTATGTAAAATTAAGACTTTGGGCTAGAAGATCTTCACCATCCTCTATAGTGGATAGTTTAGTTCTAACCTTATAATCTTTGGTCAATTCTACATGATCTCAGCAAGATGGGGAGATTATTGAATTGAATGTGTAAGGACCTTAGGATATATCAGTTGTTATTTTAAAGACCAGCTCCTTGGTAGAACTGGTTTCTTTGTGGTCTTCACTCTTTCTCCTAAAAGCAGAAAGCTAAGAAGAAATTCTTTAAAAAGCTTTTAAAAAAAGAAAAAAAAAGTAATTCTGGGCAAAAGAGACTCCCAGTTAATTGGGTTCTGGTTAATTGAGGCTCTTTATTGACATGATAAGGATTATGTTTCACTTAGGAGACAGAGGGAGGAAATAAGAAAGACTGATAGAGAACGGGAAGGAAAAACTCAGTAGTTCCCTGGGAGACATGAAGATTTTCAGCTGAGACATTGTAGGTCTTTGGACAAAGACACTGAACCATTTTTGACCTTCCCAGAGTACTCTGGGGGGCCACCATGCTTGGTGACAAGTGACTTTTTTCCAATTCACAATTATTCCAACAGATATGATACAGTAGCTCAGTGTTCTTTTTCCAACCAAAAACATAGCTCCCCACAAACACTCAGAAATATAAACCATGCTGTAAAGATCCTTCCAAACCCAGGACTAGGGCATTTAAACAGGTTTGTGTTTAACAGAGTCACACGAATAGGAGAAGAACAACAGGGACCTTGGGAAATGCACCCAAGCTTAGCTGGTTGACCTGACAGAGACAAAGGTCTCCAAGGCTGGAATACGAAACACTGAAAAAGCGAGGCCAAAGATCTAAATAGCCCATCGGGCATCATTCCTGTTGGGGGTGGGGGTTGGTCTTTGGAGTGGCCTGACTCAAAAAGAAAAGCTCTTTTCCCTCCTGGGTTGTCAGTCGCATGATTTCTGGGTCCCTTAGAAACGAAGTGCTTTGGAAACTGACCCCTTGAGTGCAAATGGAATCTGTTTGATAGATTCAGCTGCTGTGGGGCAGAGACAGTGAATTCTCCTTTGCTCTTCACAGGGAGCAAAGGGACCTATTCCCATTCATAGCCCCCAGAACGAATCACAGTAAATAATTAGATCAGATGCAGCTTCCAGTGAAGTAATGGATGAGTGCCTGGATGGGTCTCCCAGCTTGATGGTTTCTGCTGGATTGGAAAAGACCAACAGGATTGGCCTTCCCACAAAATACCACTGTCCATGCTGCAATAACGTCATAAGATTTCATAGGACCCAAGACTACACTTTGGTTACACCAAGGGATAGAGTAAGAGCCAAAACCTTACAACCTGGCTCCTTGAGATGTTCCAAGAACCTTCTTGTAACCCCTCAGACTTCCACAGTGACATGAATAAATTAGACACAAAAATAACTTAAAAGTGCCCTCCCAACCCCGCCCCCCCGCCTTGTCCCTCTATATAAATAAATAAATACTGTTAAATGGTGGTGGATTGCCTCCAAAAAATTAGAATAATAAATAAATAAATAAATAAGGTAGTAGGGTTTTCTCCAGCGTCAGAGGACCAGAAACCCCGAGGTGTAGTAGCTTCCACAGAATAACATGATTTGAAGCAGTCCTTGAAAAGTGGCCCAAGACAATTCCAGCATTGACCTCATAGAGAGTTGGCCTCTTAAGAGTGTCTGGGCTGTAAGTTCTCCTTAGCTCGCTGCCTTCCCAGAAGAGGCTGGATGGCACCTGAAGGCCTTTTGTCCACAGATCTCCATGAAGAAAGAATATCAGGTCCACATCTTGTGGTGGATATATACATTATCTATACATCCCCTCTAGCTCCCCAGTCGAGGGCCCTCCCTGTGCCTGGGAAACAACTTATCTCTCTTTTTGTCCCTATGGTGGTGCTGTCATGAGTTTGATGTTAGGAAGCTGGACTAGAAGCAGAAGTAGCCTGACCGTGGAAGCAGGGGGGTGTGGGTTAAAGCTGAAGGGGAAAGCCAGGGGGCCAGAGTCAGGTGAGGGGGGGCCTCCTAGACACCCTCCCAAGGTGTGTGAGAAGGTATTTCCCTGGCCATCTCTACCTGCTACATCACCACTCCCCCTCACCTATGTTTCTCCCGATGGGAAAATCAGAGGAATTAGCGGTCTTCATAACCTCAAGGAAACTTCAGTTGAACTAATTTTGTCCTTCCTTCCTCTCTCTAGTGACCACAGACACTGCTAGGCTCCCCCAAGTATTATCTGATGGTCTTTGGTTGACCAGGTACTTGGCTTCTTGGTGCTTAGGGTCCCAGAGAGCTGCTAGCCAAAGAGGGGTGTGTGTGTGTGTGTGTGTGTGTGTTTGGGGCAGAGGTGGAATGAGGTGATGAGGCAGTGGAAACTCTAACAATCCAAAAATGATTAAAGTTCTCAGCTGCTTTGAATGGGCTACCAACATAGTGTGGCCAATATGCTTCACACCATGAGAAGGTAGCTGTCCTGCCTCCCCAGGGAGGGATAATGGAAACTGGCTGATCGTCACAGACCCTGCCACTCCACCCTACTTTCCTGCCTCTGTTGCCCTGACTAGTGAAACTCTCACCCCTGCCCTTCTCCTGACAACTGAGCTGTCCTCATGTTCCTCCTCCCATTCCTTTGCACCCATCATATGACTTGAGCCCACGGCATTTGTGGTTTGCTGATCGGCTTACAGCTGCCCCTGGCACCAGGCTGCGGGTGACATCAAGGAGCAGGAGTTAGGGCTAGACCAGGATGGGGCTTCCCTCTAACTGAAAGCTAGCAACAGCTGAATGCTCGAAGTACGAGTTGGCAAGCTCTTCTCCTCAGAAGCCTTTCCCTCCCACCCCAGCTCCTATGTTGGGCATGATCTGTGCTCTAGGACCTAAGCAATTTAGGCTGAGCCAAGCTAAATTCCCTGGAGGTGAGGTGGGTTTGGGGAATAGGGACTTAATCAGATAAATGGAGACATTGATACCATCCTTGACCCAAGAGGCATCACAAGAAGATGACTCTGGGGTGCTTCAAGTCTGGGGCTTGAGATTTGGGAATAAGGGAGGTTATGGGAAAATGCTGAGGGAAGAACGAGGCCAGACTGGTAGGCGTTGGCTACTGGCATAGATCAGTGGCACCCAAGGTATTTCCAGCTGGTGTCTAGATGAGATGAAGTTGGTGCCAGCTGGGAGGACATGAATCAGACCTTGTCCTTGGGGTCCAGGAAGAGAATCATAAGTTCTATGAGTCACTCAGGATATAGCTGCTTATATGCAGGTGGCTTTTTAATCACTCTCCTCCCCTGGCCTGGAGAACCCTATTGATGTTGGAAATGTTAATGCCTGTTGTACTGGGGTCTTGCTGAAAGGCCTAGAGGAGCTTGGGAAAGTCTTTCCTTCTGAGTGGCCCATTGGAGCCCTAGAGTTGATGGCTCAGATGGCCTGGTGAGATGGTGGTTTGTATAAGAAACACTAGGTACAATTAGGAATGGGGGACTGTCCTCTCTTCCTCATTGGTATAGTCCTCCTCTTGTTCGTCCTGTCTCACTGGAGTGTGCCAAAGGCAGATTCTACCAGGGTGTCATCCTGATTCGGCATCTTTCATGATATCATTCCCACAGAGAAATGAGTATTTCCCAAAGTTGGAACTTGGAATAGTCAAGCCAAGTAGTTCATTCTCTCTTCCCAAGATCTCCCACCTTTCACTCTGAGATGATTTGGCTGGCGAGGATAATCCTTCTTTCCTCCTTCTGGGCCAAAGGCCTTCTGGCCTCGAAGCCTCCACGAATCGGTAACCAGGGTTGAGTCTCCTTTCCCATTCCCTCTTCCCCTTCTCCACACCCCTCTGTCAGTCCCCAACTTCCAAATAAAATACTACCATTGTTGATTCTGGTTCTCACCTCATCCTCCCCATTCCCCATAACCAGAGGCACGCACTGGGATGGTGTGGCTACTCAGCATTCCTTCACTAAGTGGGGAAAGCAAACTTGGGATAAAACTTCTGCTTCCCAGGGTAATGTTGCCCTTTGGTTTTCTCTCTTGCTATCAACCTGGATTTAGGACGAGCTGCAAAATAACAGCTTGGGATTAGGATGGTGAAAATGATGTCAGAGTGTCTATGTGTGTCAGTATAAGGGGAAGGAGTCAAAATGGCGTCCAATGGAGTCCATTGGCCGTGCCCTTATTATGGAAAAAAGACTTAACTGAGTGGAGTGTTGTATGTTCAGTGGCATCCCTGGTGCCCCCATGAAGCCCCATATCTGAACCACTGGCTTGGTGATCCTTGGATCATACAAAGGGCTCCCTCTGCCTTGGGTGGTTTATTCTCTTCCCCACCCCCACTAGATTCTGGTCCAGAATGGCTGCAGGGCATGCGTGGCTCATGGCTGGCTGCAAAGGGAAGGAGAGCAGAGCTGCTGGGTCCTCTCTTCTCCTTGGAGTGGAGGGAGGGGTGGGGGTGGGTGGGGGACCTAGAGCCTCCCCGGGACACAAGGCTTCTGTCAGTACGAAGAAAGGGGCCAGAGTCCTGAGGCCACAGCTGGGAGGCCTCCCTTAACGGCCTGTGCTCTCGTAGCTGCCCTCAGAGGCATAACTCTGGCTGTGGCTCCAGCTCCTGCTGTGGCTCCCAGGTTCACTGGCGCCATCACCGTCGCTGCTGCTGCTCTCACTGCTACTTCGGCTGCGGCCGCTGCTGCTACTGCTTCGTGAGTAACTTCGACTGCGGCTCCGGCTGCTGCTGCTGTCCCAGGAGGAGTAGCTGCTGAGGCTGCTGGAGGAGGAGGGGCTGGGACGGTAGTAGGGGATGGGACGTTTCCGGGCACTGAGGGAGAGACGGGGACATGGAGACAGGAAGGAGCAACACGCAAATGTTAAGGACACAGACCTGGTGACTTGGCTGACCAGGAGTCAGGGGTACAGTTGGGACTGAAACCCAGCTCCCCTGTCTCATATAGTTCTGTGTTGCCAAGTCTTTGCTAGTCAGGGTCCCTGGACTGGAACATCACTGCTAATCCTGAAAGCCCTTGAGAGGATAATCTGTGACTTTGGCTAAGTCACTGAAACTCCTGGGCTACAGTTTCCTAATTTGTAAAGTGGGGATCACATGTGATTTTGGTTTAGGCCACTTCAAAGAAATACAGAAAGATAAAGATGAAAGGAGGAAGGAAAGAGGGAAGGAGGGGAGGGGTGCAGGAAAGAAAGAAAATGAAGGGAGTGAGGAAAGAAAGAATGAAGAAAAAAGAGAAAGGAAGGAATGAAAGTAGGAGAGAAGGAAAGAAAAAATGAGGATGAGAGGAAAAAGATGAGAGATGGAGGAAGGAAGGAAAGAAAGAACATGGAGGGAGGAAAGGAGGGAGGAAGGAAGGAAGGAAAAGAAAGAGAAAAGAAAGAATGAAAGGAGGAGAGAAGGAAAGAAAAAGATGAAAGGAGGAAGGAAAGAAAGAAAGATCAAGGGAGGGAAGGAAGAAGGAAGGTAGGAGAGAATGATAGAAAGGAAGCAGGAAGAAAGGAAGAAATGAAAGAGAGAGGAAGGAATGAAAAGAAGAAAGATAGAAAAAGAGATATGCAACCATCAAGACAAATTCCTTCCATCTCACACTGATAGCTGACATTTATCTGGTGTTTTTCCCCCTTTCCTCTCTTTGTATTGCCAGTACCTGTGTTAGTACTTAAATCCTTGTTGACTGACTGCTGTATATCCATTATCCTATGTGAACCTTAAGATAGTCTGGTGAGGTTGGTACTTCAGATATTTCCCCCATTTTGCAGACGAGTGAACTGAGGTGGAGAGGTCAGTGTCAGAGGTGGGATTTGAACCCTGTTCTTCCTGATCCCAAGTCCAGCACAGTATGCACTCAGCCATATCTGCTGAAGGTAGGTAGCCCACCTTCCTGGGCTGCCCCCGATACCTAGGTCCCCCTCACCTTGTGATCCGACGAGCCTCCAGGTGGCTGGGGGAATCCCTCCTGCGCTTCCTCATGGGGGAGTAAGACCGCCGCCGTCTCCTCTCTCGTTCCCGAGGGGTCTCCTTTTCACTGGGTCCATACTTGTGGTCTCGTTCTCTGTCTCTGGGAGGTGGGGAGGGATGAATCATGGGAGAAATGGTTATGGCCAATGATCACTAGGTACGGACCCTCATCGCCAGGCCATTGGCTCTGTCTGTGATGACCGTGGTTCATTGTGGGTTCTGACTCAGTTGCTGTGTGACCTTGGATAAGTCAAGTTTGCTTCTCTGGACTTCACATTTTATTTCACTTTCCACAGGTCTGAAGAAGGCAATGGTAATAACAGAATATGTGGGCTGGAGAGTATCCCTAAAGGATAATTAGTTTAAGGTACCCTTGACTCTGGGCACCTGCATATTTCCAAGCAAATTAGACATGGGAAAGTACTCTATTTTTTTAATGACCTACTTTCATTCAAATTTATTGCATCTTTTATGGGCTTGGGGTGGTACCTGAATGAGAAAATGAAAACTTTTACACAGGCTTTCCCTAGCTTGCTATGAGCCATACTCATGAAATATGGGCCTGGTCTAGGGCTGGATGGAAGAGAATGAGAACAGGGGAGCAAGAACCGAGGTGGATGAGAGTCTTTTGCCTTTTCTTGATAGAGCAATAATAAAAAATAATAATTAACAATTATTTAAAGGCAGGGACTGTCTTTTGCCTCTTTTTGTATCTCTTGGAACCTGGCACACAGTAGGTGCCTACTGATTGATTGCTATAGCACTTGCTTATGTGCCAGGCACTGCTAAGCACTTCACAATTATTATCTCAGTTGATTCTCACATTACCCTTGGAGGGAGGGGCTTTTACTATCCCCATTTTACTCTTGGGGAAACTGAGGCAGACAGGTGAAGTGACTTGTCCAGATCATACAGCTAATCAGTGTCTGAGGCTGGATTTGAATTCAGGTCTTCCTGATCCCAGCATTCTACTCACTGTGCTACCTAGCTGTCCCAAGGGAGCAACAGGGGACATGGAGAGATTCACATCTGGAACCATTGCAAGAGCCACAGATGTTGGGGAAGTTGAGTCAAGTACCTGCTAGGGCTATACCGGGTATAACTGGGACTCCGTCGGGGCCGAGGGCTTCTGCTTACTGGACTCTGCCCGCCGGATGTGGACGAGTAGCTGGGAGATCGGGTGTAGGACCTGTATAAGGAGAAACAGCCTGTCTGATGGTCCTAGAAGAACCAGGTGCGGCACAGGGGAAAGACTGAGTGACAGTCTGAAAGAATGGATGGAGAAACTGTAATTGCATGACATCCCTTCACGTACTCCACATTATAGGCAAACTTGCTGCGGCATCCTATTTCTCGCTTCTGTACCCTTAATACAGGCTGTCTGTTCCCTGCGTCTGGAGCACTTTCCCATCTTATCCGGGACTTTTGGAATCTCTACTTCCCTTCAAGGCTCAGCCCTAGATCCATCTCCTAGGATCAATCAGCCATTCAATCCCCAAGCATTTATTAAATGCCAATATATGCCAGGCTCCGTGCTAGGCATTGGCAGAAGTAAAACAGTCCTCACTTACTCTTAAGGAATTTATATTTCAGTGAAGGAGAGACATAGTGTATACACATGAAATGATTGCAAGGTAGCTTTGGGATGAAAGACAACAGTGGTCCCTGGAGGTCATATCCCCTAGTTCTTGTTGTCTGTCCTTCATTCTTGAAGAGGACCATGACATCAGGAAGCTGATGCCATGTTTGATGAAGGAAAACCCCCTTTAAAAAGTACTTACTGATTTGGCATAGATTTTCGTATTTACTTATCTGAGGACGTTTCCCCTGATAGCATGTAATCTCCTAAGGTCAGAGATTGTTTCACTTTTGTCCTTGTGTCCCCAATACCTAGCATAGTGTCCAGTACATAATATATGTTTACGGGAAGAGGAAGGGAAGGGAATGGAATAAGCATTTATATAGCCCCTATTATAGTCTCGACACTATGCTAAGTACTTTATAGATGTGATCTCAGTTGAATCTCCTAACAGCCTTGTAAGGTATGTGTTGTCATAATCCCCACTCGACAGTTGAGGAAACTGAGGCAAACAGAACTTAAATGTCTTGCCCGGAAGGTCTGAGTTGAAATCCATCCTCAGATATGTGACCCTAGGCAAGTCACTTCACCTCTGCCTCAGTTTCTTCATCTGTAAAATAAAGATAATATTGAGAGCACCTTCTTCCCAGGCTGTTGTGAGGACCAAATGAAGTGATAAATGTATAGAGCTTTAGCACAATGCCTGACACATAGCAGGCACCATATAAATGTTAGCTAGTATTGTTAATATTAGGCAAGTTTTTCCTGTTTGAAGAATGACACAAAGAGGGTAACATGCTTAAGAAAGCTAAAGGGTCTCTGTGAGGGGAAGCAGTTGGAGTCGATCATCTGTAAGGTCCCTTTTAATAAAAATCTCTGATTTCTGCCAGAGGTAGATGGCTCCCCAGTGGAGAAGTATTTGGAGGTGGGTATTGTAGGAAGGATGCAGGGATTAGGAGGAAGGCTGGACTTTCGACTCTAAGAGTCCCTCTAACTCTGAGATTATTATTAAAGTTAAAATGATTAAAATGACTATTTAAAATTAATTAAACAGGGAAATAATGTCATTCAAATAATTACTTATATATTCACCATTTATTATTAATAAGACTATTTTCTTCATCATCACCATCATCTCCCCTGGAAAAACAACAGAAATACCAACTCTCCCTTCCTGCTTTTCCATCAGCATTTATACATCTGTTTTCTGCTGCTTTTTAAGAACCCTGGACCTTCAACTTGAAGTGGGGGGGTGGTTGGGAGGGGGCAGCATCAACATGGCTTCTTCTGCCTCATGTCCTAGGGATCATTTATGTCCTCCAAGATCAAAATTATCAATTTAGAGTTTAAAAGGACCTTGAAATCCATCTAGCCCCACCTTCTCATTAAAAAAAAAAAGTTTTATTGAAACATTGTGTTTTGACGGCACAGTCATTTCTGGACCTCCTTCCACTCCAACCCCTCCTTTCTACCTGATAGAACCCTACATTTTTAAAAAGAAAGACGATCAAGAATCCTATGACTCCCCCAACCCCAACCCAGTACAGAGACCTCTTCAGGCAATACATACAACATTCTCTTTTAGTCGTCCCCTGCCTATCTACAGAGTGGATCACAGATTTAATAATGACAGTAGTAATAATATAATATGATATGATATAATATGATACAATGTAATGTGATGTGACATAAAATAATCATAGTGTAACACAGTGTAACATATAATTATATGACAATAAATAGAATATATAACACAAGTTAATATATTAATATATCAACAGAATAGAATAAATATAATATACGACATTATATAGTATGATATAGCATGACATGATGCAATATAACATAATATAACATAATGTAACATAACATAACATCACATAACATAACACACACTTTAAGGTTTGCGAAGGGCTTTACAATTATCTCATTTTACCTCACAACAATCCTGGGAGATATCAGTTAGTAAGTGACCAAATACTGATTTGAACTCAGGTCTTTCTGACCACTGGCCCAGTATTCTAATCTGTAAAATAAGGTCACTGGACTCTGAGATTCCTCCAGCTCTAGCTTCAGAAGCCTGACTAAATTTCTAAGGTTCCTCCTAATTCTAGACATATAATCTATGATATCACTGAGCCATGGCCAAGGTTCAGCCCAAAAAATGACTGAAATTACCTTTGTCTGTGCTAGTGAAGTTGACCATCCCTAGCCCTCCACCCCAATCCTCCAGTGAGCATTCAGGGAAAAGAAGAGAGCACTTCTTAGCTAGGGTTGGAATTTGAGAACGGATTCACTTACCTCTTCCCTGAGGAGCTTGAGCGACTTCGGGTGTACCTGGGGAAGGCCCCCCTGTGATTTGGTGATGGGGAGGAGTGACTGGAGGCCGGGAGGACCTGGCAGGGCTGCTGTAGGAGCTACCCTGGGAGCAGGCTCTCAGTGGGGAGGTCCGGGCAGGGGAGGGGGCAGGACTCAGCTTCTTCACTTCTGAGCAGCCGAGGCATGGTGATTGGAATCCTCTGGAGATGGAGAGAGTCAGAGATATCCTCAAATGAATACAGATTTATTACAGTGAAATGCTGTCATCCCAAACCTAGGCCTAGCAACCTCGATTGCTTGTGTTTCTCAAAAGTAGCTGCAACAAGAATAGAATGTAAACTCCTAGAGGGCAAGGATAGAGAGGTATTCTCTCTCTGTCTCTCTGTCTCTGTCTCTGTCTGTCTCTCCTTCCTTCCTTTCTTTCCTTTACTTTTTCTCTTCTATTTTCTTTCCCTCTTTTTCTTTTCTCTCTTTTTCTCTCTCTTTTCCCTCCTTTTTTCTTTTCTTCTCCTTTTCTCTTCTACTTTCTTCTTTCTCTCTTTTTTTTTCTATTTCTCTCTCCCTTCCTTCCTCCTTTTTTCTTTCTCTTTTTAAAATTTTCTTTCTCTTCTTTCTCTTACTGTCTTTTCTTTCTCTTCTTTTATTTCCTTCTCTCTTTTTTCTCTCTCCCTTCCTCCCTCCCTTTCTTTTCTTTCTCTTCTATTTCCTTTCTCTCTTCTTCTTTCTCTTCTTTCTATTTTCTTTCTTTCTTTGTTTATTTCTTTTTCCTTTTCTATTTCTTCTCTCTCTCTCTCTCTCTCTCTCTCTCTCTCTCTCTCTCTCTCTCTCTCTCTCTCTCTCCCATGCCTAGCACAGTTCCTGTTTAAATAGTAGGCATTTAATAAATACTTGGTGAATTGTGAGTTCCATGACCAACTTTGATAGACTTAGCTCTTCTCAGCAGTGAAATGATCTAAGACAATTCCAAAGGCTCATAATGGAAAATGCTATCCACATCCAGAGTTTATGGGGTCTGAATGCAGATAGAAGCATACTATATTCTCTCTCTCTTTTTTTTATTCCTCAAAAGTTTTCCCTTTTTGTTCTGATTCTTCTTTCACAACATGACTAATGTGGAAATATGTTTAATACGATTGTACATGTACGGCTTATATCAGATTGCATGCCGTCTTGGGGATGCGAGAGGGGAGGGAGGGGCAAAAATTTAAAACTCAAAATCTTATAAAAGTGAATGTTGAAAACTAAAAATAAATAAATTAATTAATCAAAAAATAAATGCTTCTTGAATGAATACATGAATTAATTAATTTTAAGTATCTACTATCTGCCAGGCACTGTAGTAGAAAGTACAGACATAAAAACAAAGCAAATATCAATCCTTATGCTCATGATGTTTATAGCCTGAGGCAGCTGAGAGGGCCGGTAGCACATGCCTTATCTCCAGGCCCTTCTTGCCTCATAGATATTAAATCAGGGCAGCACTTCAAGAGTCTTCTCATTCAATCCCCTCATTTTACAGATGAGAAGACTGAGACCTAGGCAATTAATAAGATCATAAGATCAAAGATTTCAAGCAGGAAGGCTCATTAGAGGGTGTAGATAAGCAACAGAGAAGGGCACGGGGGACCTGGGAAATTAAAATGATTTGCTCAAGGTCACAAGGTAGTAGGTATCAGAATTGGGATTTGAACCCACATCCTTTCTTTCCTCTTTCCACTACATCATGATGAACAGGGGTTGGTGGGTGGGTGCATTGTACAAAGGCAGGAGAAGGAATATCCAGTTGGAAGAATGGTTTGCAGGCTAGTTCTACCAGAACATGGAGTGCTTGAAGGGAGATAATGTCAAATAAGAATAGAAAAGTGGACTGGGCGTAGAATTTGAAAGGCTTGAAAAGCAGGCTGAAGAGTCTGAATTTTATCTGGAAGGAAAGAAGGATGCCTCTGCAATCAGAGCACCTGATCGTTCTGACCTTTGCTACCTTGGGCAACTCAAGATTTCTACAGGCCTCAATTTCTCCATTTGTAAAGTTAAGTTCCTGGACTATATGACTTTTGGATTCCCTTCCAGCTCTAGATTATGAGCCGAGGAAGAGAGCCCTTAAAGTTCTGTGATCTCCTCCTGACTCTGTTAAAGATGTGCTCTGGTGTCTTACCAGGTAATTATACTAATTTCTTCATGCCTTGGATTTCTCATCTGTGCAATGGGGATACTATTGCTTGGGCCCCACAAGCTTTCTATGTCTTGATTTCTCCATTTGTGCAGTGGGGTGGAGGTGTCCTGTTTCTTAAGAGGAAAACATAGAATAACTCAGTGATCAGTGCTAGCCTTAGAGGGCTCTGCCTGGTATCAACTGTACCATAGACTGACTTCCTCTTCAGCAGCCCTGCCTCCTGAGGAAGGCTCCAGGCTCCAGGAAGGGCTAGGGGACAATTACGTGGTGCCCGCTCCAGTGTCTCCAAAAGAGGGCCTTGGTCCAGCTCTATGGAGGCTAATGTCTGTTTGCAGATGGCTCTTGCTTCTGGCAGGCTAGCAGCTTCTGCTTGCCTGGCAGATGTAGATACAGAATCCTAACATATGTGAGCAGGATCCCTGGGCAGGCTCTCATTTCTGAAAAAGCCCTAACCTGGGCAAACTTTTGAATCAAGGCAGGTGCTTCATATTGGCCAAAACTCAGAAGGGGCCAGAGCCAAGGCAAGCCTGGTTTGTGGGTTGGTAAATGAAGCTCTGAGCAATGGAGCAGATCTCTGAGTGGTCACACTGACCCCACTATCTGGACTATCAGAACATAAGAATTCAGTGGAATTGTTTTTTATTTATTTATTTTTGCTTTTTTTTTTTTTGTGAGGCAATCAGGGTTAAGTGATTTGCCCAGGGTCACACAGCTAGTAAGTGTCAAGTGTCTGAGGCCAGATTTGAGCTCAGGTCATTCTGACTCCAAGGCGGGAGCTCTATCCACTCGGGTGGAATTGTTTGAATAGAGGCATGGAACACTGAACTTGGAGTCACAGGCCCTGAGTTCCAATCTTGGCTTTGCTGTGGATTCCTTATGTGACTTTTGTCAAGTCACTTAATTCTGCTGTGCCTCAGTTTCCTCCACAAATTAAAGGGGTTGGAATAGATGATCTCCTAGGTCCATTCCAGCTGGATCTAGGATCCCATGCCTTAAGGGTGTTCGTCTATAATTAAATAATAATATTAGCTGATATTTATGTATCTTATACCAAAGGGATTGGGGAGGGAGCAGTATGACTATTGTCATCCCTATTTGAAAGGGTTATGGATATGGATAGATAGATTCAGTTCATCTGAAAAAGATTGGAGGGTTGGGATTTGCTGGACTGTTAAGTGGGCTCAAGATCTGTCAGGCAATAGAAATTGAAATTTTATGTTTCAATGAGAGAAACACAGTGTTTAAGACAATGATATTGTGACTTTGGAGCCCGAAGGGACTTCTGAGGCCATCAAGCCCAAGCTCTCCACTTTACAGGTGAAGAAACTGAGGGCCATTGGGGTGAAGTGACTTGGTCAAGGTCACACAATTAGTAGAGGGTAGAGCCAGGTTTCCAGCCTGGGTGCTCTGACTCCAGTGATCCAACTATTACATTTTCTCAGGCCTTATTCTTCTTGACCTCTCTACAGCTTTGGACACTGTCAGCTGACTTTAGTCCTGGGCACTTTTTCTTTTGGCCTTCATGACATAACTTTCTCCTTGTTCTCTTCCTACTTGAATGAATGTTTCTTCTAAGTCTTCTCATTTGCTAAATCATTCATCTCCTGCCTTCCATGCATGGGCACACCAGAAGGATCTGTATTGAGCCTCTCCTTCCCTTTCCTTTCCTCTCCTTTCCTCCCTTTTCCTCCTCTCAACTCCTCCCCACTTCTCTGTTCCCCTCCCCTCCTCTCTCCTCTGCTTTCTTCTCCTTATTCCTTTCCTCTTCTCCCCTCGTCTCCTCTCCTCACCTCCTTCTCTCCTCTCCATGTCCTTTCTCTTTTCTCCCGTACCTCTCTGTTTATGTTTCTGTCTCTGTCTCATACACACACATACACATCACCTCCCATAGGTTCAATTATTCTCTCTATATAAATGACTCTCAGATCTAGAGATGGAGGCCTCAACTCTCTCATGAGCCCTAGTTCCTTATCACCAGCTGCTTCCTGAAGAGCTCCACCCAGATGTACCATGCTCACCTCCAAATCCTCATTCCAATTCTAACATTCTCTTTTCTCATCCATCTCTAACTTCCCGTGATCTGTGCTAACATCCTCGGTCATAAAGCCTCTTCCACCTCTCAACAGACTATCAGTGTATCGTTGTAGTTTCATTTTTTGTAAAGTTTACTGCCTGTTTTTAACTTTCATTTTTAAAGAATTTTGAGTTCTGAATTCCCTCCCTCCCTCCAGTCCCTCTCCCATCCACTAAAAAAGTAAGCAGCATATCATTGTAGTTTTGAAAGGTTCCCGACAAAGTATTTTGCTTCCAAAGTTCAAAAAATAAAAAAGAAGAAGAAAAAGAAAATGGACTTAAACTAAACTATGTCTTAAAAGCTTTCTTACTCAAAGTCAAAAATAATCCTGTGTCTCCTGGGTATTGTGGTAAAACCAGGGATGACAACCAGGGGTACGTTTGCCCAAGGTTGGGTTTTGGAATTGACTCTCCAATTGCTTGGATGGGCTTGACTCTTTCAGGGCTGCTGGTTCTGCTGGTGGCACTGACCTTGAGTCCGTGGCCTGGGGCTGTGAAGAGAGAGTTTCCAAACTGGGTCCCTTGGTCTGGGAAGAACAAGTAGTGAAGGAATTCCCCGAATCGGAGCTGTTATCACTGGTGAGCAGTGGTTTGGGCTTGACGGCAGCCAAGCCACCCCGCCGCATCCTGGCCGGCCGGGCTCCCTTTGTCCTGGCCATCCTGGGGGCTGGAGGAGCTGGTCCTTGCGGAGGGTGGGGAGGAAGTGTCGTTTCCTGAGTCGTATTCCTGGGACCCTCCTCGGGGCGCCACGAGATTGCCAAGCGGGCTGACTGTTTTGGTAAAGAGGTCAACGGAAGACCCCGACTGAGAAATCTGAAAGTAAAAAGACCCGTTGGGCACGGCTAAGCACTCGGGCACCTGGGCTGTGTCTAATTAAACCAAGAAATGTTACCTTCATGATGCACTGTAACAAAAGGAAAGAAAGAGAGAAGAGAAGCCCAGACAAAAAGAACATATCCCTGAAAGAAAACCACAGAAAGGAGACACTTGTTTTCCCCCTGATATGGAAACTGGAAGTTTGGAAATATCATGCACAGATCAGTAGCATGCGATCCAGACTGAACAAAAGAAAAAAAACAGAAGGATTTTTTTTCTAATAAATTAACTCAAACAAAAGGAAGGAAACTAAATAGAGAGGGAATGCAGCATCCCTCAAGGCAATCTAAACAAAACAAAACAAAAAAAAAGATGGGGGTGGGTGAGTGGGGGATTGGGGAAGAAAAAAAAAAAAAATAACAGGGATATGTGGACTTAAAAATATTTTCTTTTGGGAAAAAAGGTAAACCCAAAACTTTTAAAGTCGAACCAAATTCTCAATGAATTTGACTTTTTTTTTCTAAAGAAAAGCATTTCCTGAATAGAACATGGAACAAACATCACACAAAAAGAAAACGAAAGAAAGAAAAAAGAAAAAAAAAGACGTTAAGTATAAAGGAAAACTTGCAAACCAACATATTTAGCACCTTTCAACTAAGGGGAAAAAGAAAAAAAAAACAAACAAAATAAAAAGAACCGAAAAAAAAAAGAAAGTGAAATCCTCAGCTGAAAAAAAAATGAAAAAAAAAGGTCTATACAGAGATTTCTGTGTGTGTGTGTGTGTGTGTGTTTTTCCCCCTGGAGAAGGTAGCTAAAGCTCTGGAGTGGTCTCTAATACAATCCCTAAGGTCTTAGCGGATAGCATCCACTTACCAATCAAGATTTCCTCCTTTAGTAGGTAAGGTGTAAGAAAAAGGGAAGAGCGGGGAACGTCAGTCCATCATTAGAGTCTCAAATTACAAGAAAAAACATCAACCCTCTCTTCAAATCCTTACTCTCTGCTTTGCTGTTTTTTAATTTTCAGTTTCTTTTTAAATCTTAATTGTTTTAAGTTTGGCTGTTTGCCACTGAGGATAGTCAATTCTCTTTGATTTCTCATTGGGAACCTCAAGGTATCAATCTCATTAAATCACCATTATTGTTTAGGTTGGCTCATGGATACACAGAATGAATATATATGTATATGGTGCTACACATATATATGTAGAAATTAAAAAAAAAACACCAGGAAGAGTAGACCTATTCCTTTAGGCTGTTGGAGGGGAAGAAGAACACTGGTATGACTTGAGCGGTTGGCCAATAGTTGGACTGGATTAGAAAGATTGGCAGAATCTCGATAGGGGATGACTAAGGGAATCCAGAAAGAGGAATGCCATTGTTTTCACCTTTCATATTTTGGAGGCATAGTCCAAGCCTTTGTGGATTAAAAAAAAACCCAGCTGGGTCTGGGTTGCCATAATCCATGCCTCTTAGGAGCAGCATGACATTTTAAAGGCTTGGCATCCCAGTTTGGTTTCTTTCCATCAGGGTCTTTATTGATCAAAGATCAAATGGGTTCAAACAACAGTCAATGCCTGGTTTTTGCCTGATTTATCTGGAGACTTCAGAGAAAAACTGGTTTTGCCAAGTCCCTTCTTGATCAGAAGAGATTGGACACAGAGAGGATGACTCAGTTATGGAGATAGAAATGACAGTGACCACCCATGCATGAGGCCAGTCAATGTCACCAAGAATTCATAGGGATGAGATAGCCTTTCAGAGTGGTTGCCTGATTCCAAGTCCATTGTGTTAGTGGTCAATGGCTTAAGTAGGCTTTGGAGGGGAAGAAGAGGAAAGAGACTGGAATTTGGGGTGTGGGGAAAACATCCAGGTCCCAATTTATGTGAATAATGAATCTTGTGAAGTGGTCACATGTGTTTGAAAACATAATATTTAAAATTATAATTATGTTAAACATGGTCATTGTCCAATGGAAATATGCAATGTGAGTTCAAATAATGTGACTACTTCACAGGATTCATCATTTACAGTAATTGGGACCTAGATGTACTTGCCTATGTTCTCCTCACGAAGGTGAGATGAGCTTAAAGCCTAAATGGGAGACACATTCACTTCTGGGCTATGGTGAAATTGTGTGCCCTCATGCCCACTTCTGCACACTGAGGAAGGACAGCTTCTAACTGACCTGTGACCAGGCTGCTCTTGCCTTTTTAGAAGGGAACACCGATAAAGCTACTCAGACTGGGTTTTCCAGGGATGTCAGTGGCATATTTCAAACCTAACATACTATTCTCAATCACCTCCCCCTTCTCTCCTGGCTTTGAGGTCTAATTTTACAACCACAGTAATAATAATAATGATGATGATAACAGCTAGCATTTATATAGTACCTCCTATGCACCAGGCCTATACTGAATGCTTTAAAATATTAGCTCATTTGATCCTTACAACACTCCTAGGAGGTAGGTGGTATTATTATCCCATTTTACAGATGAGGAAACTGAGGCAGACAGAGGGTAAGTGACTTTCCCAGGGTCACTAGTTAATACACGTCTGAGGCTGGATTTGAACTCATGTCTTCCTGCCTCCAGGTGCAGCACTCAATCCACTGTACCCCCAAGCTGCCTATGATGTTGTAAAGGGGATACTTTTAGGAATATTTCTTTGGAATAGATGACTGCTGAGCTCCCTTCTGGCTCTGAGGCTCTGAGAAGACCTTCTAGGAGAACTGTGGGCATTGACTGTGGAGTAGGGAGGCTAATTAATCCAGGAGCTTGGAGAAAGTAGGAAGAGGTTGTCTTGGGAGTAACTATCAACATAGGAAAGGTTCAGTGAGGCCAACTTGTGGGTTCTATCTTCCAGGTCCTCTGGGACAAGGCATGTGGCAAATCATTCCTCTCATTCCTCAGTTTACCACTGTGAGCACCATTTTTTTTCCTGATACATTAAATTCTACACATTCCGCATAGATGTCCCAGAATTCTGCCCTGAATCTCAGAGCTGAAAGGGACCTCAGCAGTCACCTAATCTCATCCCAGAATGAGAAGTCACTCTCCAACATCCACACATGTAGTCCTTCTACCTCAGCCCAACGATGTCAAGGGAAGGGGAACCTAGTGTCTGCTATGGGAGTCCAAACTACTTTCGGATAGCTCTGTTAGGAAGCTCTTCCTTCCATCAAGTTTAAATTTACCTCCTCATGACTTCCTAATTCTATTTGCTGGAGTAAAGCAAGGACACATCTAATCCTATTCCACAAGACAGCCCAACAGTTATTTAGAGGCAACTCTCATCTTCTCCCCTCTTCTTCAGGCTGGACATCCCCAATTCCTTCAGTGGTCTTCATAAACTCATTCATTTACCATCTTGTTCACTCTCCTCAGGTGTTCTGCAGATCATCAATGTCCTTTGTGAGTGATAAACCACCCTTCCACTTCATTCCCTTGTACCTTGTTGCATCTAGTGGGTGACCATAGGTGGGTTAGAACTTCTATATACTATAAGGAGTGCACAGGTGCCCCCTACCCAACTCCTCCAACATGGCTAAAAGCAGGATAGATAACATAGAGGAATATGCACTCTGTTTCCCCTGCATCCTCTCCCCCAATGGGAATTGCTAGAATAAAGGATTTCCATGCTACAGAGAAACTAAATGGTTGATAAAAATACATAAGTTTTTGTTATTGTTCAGTCCTGTCTAACTCTTTGTGACCCCATTCGGGGTTTTCTTGGCAAAGATACTGGAGTGGTTTGCCATTTCTTTCTCCACCTCATTTTATACATGAGGAAACTGAGGCAAACAGGGTTTAGTGACTTGCCCAGGGTCACACAGCTAGCAAGTGTCTGAGGCCAGATTTGAACTCAGAAAGATGTCTTCCTGATTCCAAGTCATTGTTCTATCCACTGTGCCACCTAGTTGCCCAAACAAAACCACATGACCCAAATCATTTGCCTCACCTTTTTCGGGAGAAAGGGGACGAGATCTCCCTCTATCAATGCAGATTATTAGCCATTGCACAGTTTATGGTCTTAGAGCCCTGTCTGAGAGCACCAAGAGGTTAAATGCCCTGTCCAAGGTGCTACAGCCAGTATGAATCAGAGATAAGACCAGGATCCAAGTTATCCTGACTCAGAGACTAATGCTTTATCCTTCCTGCAAAGTCTCTAGTAAATTTAGAACCAGGATTCCTTGCCCTCCCCTTTCCCCTCCCCCTTTCCCTTCTCCCAGCGTTCTGGTACCTGCCATCATCCACTGTGTCTATTTCCCTTAACCTGTAAGCTGTTGCTGCAAATCCTTTTGGGAGTGGGGAGGTCCAAGTCTTAAATAAATGTGGATTAGTGAGTAAGTGATGTCTCAGAGCCTGGATTCAATGCCGTCCATCCGGAACCCTCCCCCCCCCCCCCCCCCCCCCGCTTCCACCCCAGCTGTTACTGTCTCTTTGTCCAAATTCCCTTGTATTTATTTTGCATACATGCCGTATGTACTCAGATGCTTATGTCTCAACTCCTTCAGTAGAATTTAAGGTGCCGGAAGGCAGGCATTCTTTCATCTCCCTCTGAGGAGGCTCCATTTTCTCATTTACAAAACGAGGGGTTGGTGAATTGGTCTCTGAGGAAGTCCCTTCCAGCTCCAAAACTTTCTTTCCATAATCTGGGTTCCTATCCCACCTTTGTTGCTCCTTGCCTGTGTTGACCTTGGGCAAGTCACTCTATCAATCTGGAGGTCAATTTCCTCATCTACAAAATAAGGGGGTTAGATTCACTGGCCTCTGAGGTTCCTTCTAACTCTAGATATATAGAGCCTAATTATCCACATTTGACAGATGAGGAAGTCAGTTAAGTGACTTTGACAATAACGATTGGTTAAGTGACTTTGTGAGGGTCACTGAATATCTGAGACAAGATTTGAATTTGAGTCTTGGAGACACCAAGTCTAACACTCTCTTCACAGTGCCACACCGCCCACCTCTTCAAAAGAGAATTATCATAGAATCTGG